TTGTGTGGGTAATAATAATAACATTAATATATACGTTGCGATTTACGATTTTGAACGGTTGTTGGAGGGTTGAGGCTAAGTTTGTCTTATTAAGCGGGAAATTAGTTTGCAAAATTTATAGAGCGCCGTCTGTGGGAATCGAACCCACGACCACGTGGTTAAAAGCCACGCGCTCTACCGGCTGAGCTAAGACGGCTTGCTTGCAAGTTTCAGTTTGTTATTTTATTAAAATAAATAAATTAATCCAAAGTTGTTTTCCAAAAAGGGAACTATTCATTTATTTACAATTTACTATTTAATATATAAATTGTGTATATCTAAATTTTAAGTTTTAAATAAAACAGCTGATATCAAAATAATATATGGTGTAAAACAAATATAAACAATATACGTATTAAAAAAATTCTTTTATTTATTATTAAATAACCTTTTAATACATAGTACATTTAAATCTATATTTTAAGCTTTAAATATTAAATAAAACATAATATTAAAAAAAATATACATTATATATATATATATTCATATTTATTTACTTAATTTTATTAAAAGGAACTACGCATTTAATAAACTAGTAAGAATATAATTGTTCTATTTGTTATTATATGAACGGGTTAATCTAAATATACCAATTCTTTTATTAAATTTATCAAAAGATAGGTGTAATTATTATATTTTTTTAATTTTTTTTATTAAAACACCAAAAGATTAATGTAATGATTATGTTTTTTTCATTTTTTATTAATTTTTTTATCATTATATAATAGTGATATTTTTTTATTTTTTATTAAAGTTTTCTATTAAGGTATTTTTCATTATTAAAGTTTTTTATTAAAGTATTTTTCATTTATTTCTTCAACATGATAATAATTATTTATTTTTTTAATTTTTGTTATCTTTTTTACTTATTTAATTATACATACATGTATAAGAAAAACAAATATTAAAACATTCATTGATAAATAAACTATAATTACAATAAATTGAACGTTACATAATTACTTCGATAGGTCAAAAGTTTTAGGAATACAAAAATAATATTCACGAAACTCTTCTTGACGACTGACATATGGGTCTTCACATGCAGATGCAATGTCACTTTTATATGTGATCCAAAGTGAATGAGTTATCGGCAAAGGACAACCTTCGCATAATGTCGCTTTAATATAATGGTTATAATTCACATGTGCAATGACGATTGTCCCATGTGGCTCTGATTGTGGTAGACTGGACCAAAGCGGGAAAATCGTAGTATAACCTAGCTAGGCTTATAACAACTCTATTGTATGCAGAAGCAATAATCAATCACGTATTTGGCATTTCTATCAATTTACCAGCTAATTGTATGGTTTTATAGATTTTTTTATAACCTGCCGTTCCAAAATATATACTTATACTTTTGTTGGTTAACATCTAACTCCCGCACCAAGTCTGACCGAATTTGATGCCATTGATCCTCAGATAGACCAAGAGTTACAGCGACTGATCGAAATCCGCAATTTTTCATCACCTATTACATCTTGTAAACCTGTAAGATAAGGACGGAAAATTTGTGAAAGTTGTTTCAAAAATCTTTCCGAATCAGGTATGGCAAACGACTGGCTTACATATGAATTGTGTCTCGTAGGTTCTTCGTTTAAATTCGGGAACAAGTCGTGTGCGCTTGTTACAAATGAATTGTGTCTCGCCGCTTCAATATTTGTCGGTTCCAAATTCAAGTCTATATCAAAAAATCTGATGGAATAACTACTTTTACCAGGATTTTGATTTTTCGGATCAACACACTTCTTCTTTTTTTGTTTCTTCAAGCTTGGCCGCCCGCGAGTATATTTTTTAACTGCGAGTTCTCTAATAAGATTTGTGCTTGGATTGAATATATCACCTAGCTTTTTTAAGAAACTCTTCTTTCCAGCGTTGGACTGCTTTTTGAATTATTCTTTGAAAATATACAGTTCATCGTCACATTAGATATATTTATTTTCCAAGGGTGCTGACCATGAAACATCTAGTGTCCTCCAAAATAATATCAATTGAATATCTTCATTTTCGCCCCTTGCTTTGCGCCCAATTTTTTAAATCTTCGTGTGAGCGAAACACCTAAAATTTAATTTATTTTCATTTATGACGATATTTTCTTGCAAAATATATATAGTAGTAAATAAAATTAAAAAATTATAATTTGTGATTGTTTTACCTAATTAGAGAAAAAAGGCGACGTCGATGTAGAAAATTCAACACCATTTGAGTTGTTTTCAGAAAAAAATGACATTTTTATGTGTTAAATGAGAACAAGATTCCTGTAACAAAATAAAAAAAAGAATAAAATATAATTATATAAAATAAAATAAAATAAAAAAATCAGACCTTAATTTAAAGATCAAAACGAGAATGGAGATGACGGGTTGAGTTAGGATTATGCACTGTTGAGAAGAAAGTGAAATGTACTTAAAAATCAAAATTGTCTTGTAGTATTAAGAAGAAAGTAAAGTATACTTAAAAATCAAAATTAAATCATTTATATATATGATTATATTTGGTTTTGTAATTAAATGTATTTAGTTAAATTTTATAATTTTCAAAAGAAAAGTTTGTAATTTTCAACATCTTAATAGTAAAAAAATCTGACAACAAAAAAAATTATTATTTCCAACATGTTTGACTAATTGTTGTTTCCAACATGTTTGGTTCATTTTTTATTTTATTTTTAATGTATTGACTGGTTTACCGGGTAAATTTAGTAGTGCCGTATAAGAACCTATTTACTATGGGGGAGAGATGGCGGCTTTTACAACTAAAGGAAATCCAATGATATATTAATGATGACATTAATATATCATTAATCTATAACTTATCCTAAAAGCGGTCCCTTGGAATTGTCTTTTTTTTAATTGTACAAAAAACATGTAATTGTCTTTTTTATTAATTTTTTAATGAATGAGAAATTTAATTAATTAAATAGATTAAAATTGTCTTGAGATGACACCGTCTAAGCGTAAAAATAAAATAAAAAATCAATTGAGGGATTTAAAAAAAACTTGACATCCCATAATGTTAGGGTAATTTTGCTGTGCGGTGCTTTAAAAATGGTTAAAAATAACGTGATTTGTTAAATAAGTAATCGGTTAAAATTTAGATCGGTTATGTTATATCATTTAACCGAAAATATTATCAAGTACAATAATATATTAGGTAACGCTTATATAATATAATAGGTAGTATTTATATTGATCTATTTTCTAACTAAATAGGTATATTTAAACCGGTAACATTGCAAATTTACCTTATTACATTATAATGTAATAGTTTGCGCTGAGAGATGCCTGTTTCTGGGTTTTTGTTCTTTGAGAGACTGATAATATGGTGGGTTTCCCAATGTTTTGTCATTTATAGACCGATTTTGTCATTTTTTTTACTTGTTATATTGTTATAGATCAATATATTTTTATAAAGTATAGGCACAAACCGACAAACTAAGTTTGCTAGTTACCAAATTTTTTAATATTTCTTCATGATTTCCACATATTACATTATTATTACTCGATATTTCCAGTATCGCTAAATCGAATTTATCAAATATATTTTAATATATCTAGTAACGCCATATATTAACCGTATATTAGTCCGCCTTTCCGGAGACAATCCCATAATGTTAAGCCTTATAATTTCAACTAGTCTATCGACTATCATTTACAAATTTACAAACTAAGTACCTGTAATGTTCAGATAACTCTCCCACGAGTTCATTTACAAATTTAGTTTTCATTTTTGTAGCTCTGATTGTTTATTTTGGTTAGATTATAGTTTCTATACTCTATTATATAAAAATTTAGAATTTGATCCTTATATTTTAATTCAACATAGTCTAGTCCTTTACTTTTCATGATGCCATTCATTAATCCATATAGTTAATAACAATATTAATAGTTTCGGTTAAAATGTTAATATAAAATCTTGTTTATATTAATATAAGTTAATTATTTGTTTTATATAAATTTTAATATTTTTGTCCTACTTATGATAGTATACATGAATATTAAATTTAGATATCAAAAGTTATAATTGTCATCTTAAGATTATGATTCAGTGACGAAAACATAATTTTATCACTATTAACAATCAAAATAAGATTTATTTAGGAATAATTATTTTATCTGAACTTAATAAATTTTGACCGGACTTAATCTTATCATATTAACTTTTTATTTTTAAAATTTATGTTCAAATCAGATCCTATTAGATATATTTTATAGTGTAATTGAGTTGGGTGTAAATTTTAACTTCAAATATCAGGTTGAATTTTGAGTCGAACAAAATGACGTTAAAAATTGAATCAAATTGTATCAAGTCGGATGTCAATAGACTACAACAACAACAATGAAACCCTATTCCCATATGCAATGGGGTAAGAGGGAGGTAGGGTAGTAGGCTGCCCCTAACGTCTGGTAGAGAGTAACTTTCGTGGAAGACCTCCGGCAGTCATAAAAATTACAAATAAAGATAAAATACAATGCATGTATAAATAAATAAATACACAGTTGACCATTTTTTTTATAAGCAGTCTTCCTATGTGCGTCTGTAATGGGAAGTAATCTCTGTAAATAAATCACTGCATAAAAATCTCTGCAATATAGACAGAAACGTAAGATCCGACTAAATTTAAAAAGAGGAAACATGAAGAGAAGGATACACAGAAGTCAACGATAGTAATCTACGAGAAGGAGTAAGTCAAATGTGTTAAAATCTAAACTAAGGCAATACTACTCCGCTAACTTAGATCTAAGCCTTCATAAATTCCAATGACAGAAACGTGAAGACAGTAGAAGTCAGATAAAATACTACAAATACATTAAAAATAGGACGTAAATGTTATAACCTATGACTGTAAACCGTACTACTCGACTACCCTGACTCGACTACCCTGATCAATAAATTATATTTTTTAATTCTGATTAGGGTGAATAAAAAATCTTGACTCATTGCCATACCTATATTTTACTTGATCAAAATTTAAAAGTTGATATGAAGACTGCATCGATTTGATAACAATGGCGGTTCGCACCAGAGTCCCTCACCGGCTGCTTCTGGTCCGCAGCTTCGTGGACGCTAGGATCAAATGGGTTCGTGACCCGTACCTCGACACCGCCATCGAAAGAGAGAAAAACCTCAAAGAAGTCCTTTCCATCAAAAACCAAATCGTCTCCTCTCCCACCAAATCTCTTCCCCTTTCCTCTCTCTCCCCTCTCAAAACCCATTTCAATCTTCCCACCTCTGCCTTCAAGCCTTTTCAGAAGTACCCTTCCATTTTCTCCCAATTCCAGCCCTCTCCATCTCTTCCTCTCCACGTCAAGCTCACCCCTCAAGCCATGGCTCTGCACAAGGAGGAGCTAGCCATTCACAGCTCTCCCTCCCACCGAAACGACGCCGTAAACAGGTTAGCTAAGCTGTTAATGCTGACTAAAACAGGTAGGGTGCCTTTGCATATTGTAGACAAGTTCAAATTTGATCTCGGCCTTCCCTCGAATTACATTACTTTTCTTCTTTCTGATTATCCTGAATATTTCCATGTTTGTGAGTATAAAAACCCTTCTGATGGAAAAGAAACCCTTTTTTTAGAGCTTATATCTTGGAGAGACGAGCTTGCTATTTCCGAAATGGAAAAGAGAGCGTCGTTTTCTGACCAAGTGAAACTGAAAAAAGGATTGCCCTTGAGGTTTTCGATGAAATTACCCAATGGGTTTGATTTAGAGAAGAAGGTGAAGAATTGGGTTGAAACATGGCAAGATTTGCCTTATATTTCTCCTTATGAGAACGCGTTTCATTTAAGGCCTAAGAGTGACCAGGCGGAAAAATGGACCGTGGCGGTGCTCCACGAGTTGTTGTGGCTGTTGGTGTCGAAGAAGACTGAAGGGAAGAATGTGTATTCTTTGGGAGAGTATTTGGGGTCGGAGAATCGATTCGAGAAGGCTTTGAATCATTTTCCGGGGATATTTTATATGTCAAATAAGATCAGGACACAGACTGTGGTGCTTAAGGAAGCTTATAGGAAAGATTTCTTGACGGAGAAGCATCCCTTGATGGGTATGCGGTTTAGGTATATACATCTTATGAATAAGTCAGACAAGTTCCGAAAGGGAGATGGTGTTCGATTGTTCAGGAAGAAAAGAAAGGCGATCCGGTATGCCGATGAAGGAGAAGTTATGAAAGAAGGTGGTAAGAGTTTGGAGGAAACTAAGGATTCAAATGTGTCATCTAGTTCAGAGTTTAGCGATTGTTCCGATGACGAGAATTTTAAAACAAAGTTAATGGATATTTAGTAAGAAAAGGATACACCAATATATGAATAAAGATAAATATGTTATTAGGGTCACAAGCTTGAGACAAGCAAGTCGAGAATCCTGCTAGAGCAAGCTTGATTGCATGTACTTTCTTAAGCTATCAATGCGTTTGACTGTGAGAGAAAGAAGCATAAACTTCGACATGCGCGCAGAAAATATGTTGAGTTAATTTTTTTAATGATGCAGTTGGCTTTTCCTTTTTTTTTCCTCTCTAAGGAAATCAAAATATTGAACATATTTTTCTTACAATAAAGCATTGGGCCATTATAAAAGAGCTTATCATACAACCCATTTGGCCAGACATACTTTTGCAGTTTGCATAGTTTCATTGCAACATTCCAGACAAGAGAGAAATGTTGAGATTGAAAGGAAGAGAAAGTATGGGAAATGCAGGAGAAATACAAGATGCAATGGATGCCTTCTTCAACGTCAACCTCACCAACAACAGTGCTACCATTGTTGTCTCTGAACAATGTTTCTTTTGTCTGCAAATCAGTGAGCAACTGGGTGAGGTTTTATGAGCAAGTGCTGGGATTTGTTCTAGTCAAATGCCTTTCTTTCAACTTTGAAGGAGCTTGGTATGCTTCAGCCTTCTGGTTCATTCACTCTTCACATGTATTTTAGTTTCTCCATTTATGTCCCAAAAAAATTAAGACCCTTTCTTTTGTTTCTTTCAATTAACCAAGGGGATCGATCCTTAATTATGAGGTGCAGGAATTGGGTGCGTTTGATTTCATTGAATGATGATGATTAGTATTTCAGGTTGTGTAACTATGGAATCGGCATCCATTTGTTCGAATCAGAAAGTGTTCCGGCAGCAAAGAAAGAAAAAATCAATCAAAAGACATCCATATTTCATTCCAAAATCTAATGCTCCGTCATGAAGCTGGTGATGCAGAACTTCAAAGAGATGAAAATCAAGTACAGGAAGGCCATAGTTACATGGTTACATAATTCGACAATCCTGATGGTTTCATGGTTGAGATTTGCACTGCCAAAACCTTCAATGTTCTTCCACTCTACTCTTGCCCTCTCAAGTTACCTAATTCGATCAGGAACGATGCAATTTCTTTGTTATATGGTAGGTTCTTTTATGCATTCATCCAATGTAAATGTAGTTTTATTCATGTAAATGCCTAGAGAAGTTGATTGCAACCATGGACTGAGAACTTCGGTGAAGCGGAGCAGGAAGACATATCATTCCGGACTAGCCAAGATTAAGATGGAAAAATGTTGTTTATGGCAAAAAATGCTGTGTAGAATGTAAGAATATTGTAATTCGAGTAAACATGGTTGAGAACATTATTTTTGCTCGATGGTGATGATTTTGTCCGGCATTGGTTGTATTTCATGAACATATGTATTCTGATAATAATGTTCCTCGAGAACATGATTTATTTGCTTATCTTCAGCCACCATTGCCAATGCCATGCTCACCAGCTCATTTGACTACACATAATCACTGTTCCTGGAGACTGAAACCAGGTTCCTTGTCCTCCAGTCCTGAATTTCGGTGAAAGTAGCTGCCAAGTCCCTCTATTATAGGTATTATATCAATTTAGTTGCTCTAATATTAAATGAATCAATTTAGTCTATATTACTGAAAATGTTCAAATTATTCTCTACTATTAAAGGATCAATTTGGTCCCTATACTCTTAATAAGATTATCTTCTCATCATCTAAGGCAACCTTACTCCACAGGGAATTGCACCAGGAAATGAAATGAGCAAATTGTCGAGCTGCATACCATTGAGCCCATATCTATAGCGTAATATAAAAGTTTAATTCAACTTTTAGCATGGTCCGGAACATTATTTTTGCTCGATGCCATTGGTTGTATTTCATGAACATATGTATTCTGATAATAATGTTCTTCAAGAATATGATTTATTTGCTTCTCTTCAGCTACCATTGCCAATGCCATGCTCAAAAGCTCATTTGACTGCACATTATCACTGATATTGGAGACTGAAACCAGGGTCTTTGTCATTGAGTCCAGAAATTCGGTGAAAGTAGCTGCCAAGTCCCTCTATTTTAAGTATTATACCAAATTAGTCCCTCTGTTATTGATAATGTTCAAATTAAACTCTTTACTATTAAATGGATCAATTTGGTCCCTATCAGGCCCTTCCCAATAGATTTGGAGACCCTGTGTTACATTTTAAAATGAGATCCCTAAAATATTTTATAATAATAATACGAAATTGTAAAATATCAAAATTTACCATATTACGATTGTTTCTTATAAAATAAAATAAAAATCCAAACATATAAAACTACGAAAATGTCACAAAATAGCTCTATAATCGTAACATTTTATTTAAAAAGTTTCATCATTCGAACGTCTTTAGAAGTAAAATTAAGATATTTTTTAAAGTGTGAGACCTCCAAATTTTAGGATCCTGCGACATACCACACTTTACACTTACTGATGGATGGGTTGGTCTCTATAAAGCTAGGGGAATATTCTGCACGTGTATTTAGATATGATTTGAAGACTTGATTTTTTTTATAAAGCTCCCGATTAAGACTCGATATGACCTAATAATGATTTACAGAAATAAACATTGATTTAAATTATAAATAAAATTTATAAAAAAAGGCATCATTAACATTATCTTTTTATTTTAATAATAGTTATAAAAAATTTAACAACATTGATATAAAATTTTATTCTAATTTTTCGATGCATAACAAGAGAATTATGTGATTGTAATTAAATCACAATATATTATTTGAAGACAAGTTTTCAATATCTCAGTTTACTATAAAAATCAAGGACATTTATGTGTGCCTTCCTTAGTCTTGATGTTGTCGTAACATGGACATTCCCCAGTATGACCATAATAACCCGAAGGAACACACAAACACCTCTTACAGCAATAGTTGCAAAACTCCAAACATGCACTCTTATATTGTGTCTGCGAACACCGAACATTACACGCATTCGGACAATCTACATATGCAACAAAATAATGGATTAGAAATCCGACTTGAATCAATCGACGGATATCTCTACATATAATCAAGCTTTTATGAATCGAATCATTATGATCGAACATAACAAAGTAAATAGAAAGCGGAAGTTTGAATAATAAAGCATATTACCTTGGAGACGAAGTGAACCTTCACCACCAGCCTGTAGACATGAAACAAGTATAATTAAAGATAGATGCAATACATAGTTTATAAATCAACGTTTAATGAGAAGGATGAGATGAGAAAGAGATGCAATACATTTGCTGTTTGAATGGTGAAAGCGAAAACAGTAAGGACGAGGAAGAAGGTAAAGGAACCCATGAAAACCTAGCCATCGCCTTATGTTATTTGTTTCTTCGTTTAACGTTTAGAAATCAGAATTGCAAGCAGTCAAGTGTGTGTTCTAAAACATCCATAAATCTCTCTTTATATAGTCTAATAGCAATGTAAAATCCCATTAATCTCTATATATGTATTCAATGTAAAATTTCTCCTAATATGTTAATTTTTTTTACAGAAAAATACAATAAAAATTATACAGAAATTTTGTATTTTCTATATATATACTTTCCTTTCTAGAATACATTCATAAACTTATCTATAAACTCTAAAAACATCTAATTAATTATATAAAAAGATGATGCACAATTAAACACACTCGAATCAATAAAAAAAATACTTTTTGGACAAAATTATGTGTAAGATTGGGGTCACTACTCTTCTTTAACTTTTTATTATTAATAATATATAAGGATAAATTCCTATTTAGACATTCAAATATTGGTTTATTTTGATTTTGATCTTCTTATTTTATGTTGTTAGTTATATCCTGTCCACTTGAATTAAAATCGTGGTTCATATTATAATATAAGCTTGATTATAAGAATTTCCTCCTCTTTAGCAGATAAGTCGATCTGAGATATATACAAATAAAATTAAATCAAAAGTTCAAGCTTTGTATGAGCAAAAATATAACAAACGATAATATGTCATAAGTATTAATCTTACACCTGGTGTATCTTCAAATGACTCTAATATTATGAAAGGTGGAATCGAATTGTTTGAATTTTTAGTTAAATTTAATTAAAAATATTTATAACGTGATGATATTTATCCTAAAATTTAAATTAAATTAAATTGGATCAAATTTTCTAACATCAAATTAAATTAACAAAAAGTATATTTTGAAAATTAAATCAAGTTATATTCATCCTTATCGTAATAAATAAACATAGGGGTTCAACGTTAATCTATATAATCCACAGATCAAATAATGAAAGCCCAAATTTCAGGGTTTGACGGTGAACAAAATAAAGGAGCAACTATTTCCTCGTCGTGACCGGGTAGCCAATTCCATGCCTTGTGGTCGGAAAAACCACGAATAATAAGCTGCAAATCAGCCCAACTCCGGCCGGTGCAATGCCCAAAACCTCCTCGGTTTCATGTTCAGGTGCCGGATAGAAGCAGTTCAAGACATTCTTGTCTCTCAAAGCTACTGCGCCGAACACGAACACCGATAAAAAAGCGTGAACTCCATCGATAAACTTGAGTCTATACTTGCTCAAATCGGGCAAACTTGAATCTTTAGGATCGGGATAGTCAAACAAGAACAACCCTTTGAACGTCGCGAAACCGTAATAAACTCGTCCGTCGGATGCCTCGACGCTGTCGGTGAAGCAAGCGAGGAAACAAGAAAGGGCGAGGAGGAGGATGAGGAGGAGCGTCATGGCGCGCGTGGCGGGATCACACGACCCGTTGTTGGTGAAAACCGGCACTAGCAGCTGGAAAGCTAACAGTGTGCCTGTAGGAAGGAGATTGGCTAAGTTTGCCGTGCTCGTCAAGGTTTGCGAGAGTACCCGCCGAGATAAAGTAGGCTGCTGTGATTGGGACTTTTGTGTTTCACGGTCATGTTTGGTGCTGCCGCCGCCTATTGATTGAGATGTTTGCTTGGAAACCGAAGCTCTCGGCCGCAGCGACGCTTCCGACATCGAAAAGTGGTGGTTGACGGCGGTTGTTACGACGGAGATACCGATCAAAGTATTCGTTGAAATTAAAGAAAACCTTGGTGTTGACGGATGAAATGTGGGAGTTAGAGGATGGTAGGTTATAGCTATCTGCGAAATATAAACAGGGTTAGGCGTTGTTGCTTGAATCTTTCTACAAACGGTTGTTTCTACGGAAATTTTCTGGTAGATTAACAGCGTAAAGACACGATCAACTCTCATAATTAGGAATTTTGAATATTTAAATCGTTCTCATTAAATTAACTGCTTGATGTCCACGGAAGCATATGCCTTACGGTACACGTCTATGCTTCTGGCTAACTCTTCAAGTACTTATTTAATACGTTAATGATGTAGTTTACTTCAAATTACGTAGACTTTGTTTAGTTGATAAAAAATACGGCATATCATTTTACAAAATTAACATGTATTTTTTTTTTCGTTGAGTTGTAAAAGATTTTACATCAATCAATTCATTTTACTTGAACCAAACATCGAAAAAAAAATACATCCCAAATTTTGTTTCAATTTCTTTTCTTGAATTTTGTTAACCAAAATAGGCAGGAAGATGCTCTGATGACTCGTTAATAGTTGATAGAGAGGGATCAAGTAATGCAGAAAGCAAGTAAACTAGCTAAGAAAGGGAGGAAAGATGATGATAAGCCGGCCGGGGTTTTGCGTTCTTCCAGTAAAAGGCAAGATTAATCTCCAACTTTCTGTTTTTCTTCCCTTAGGACACTCAAACTTGCTGCCTCGATCAGATTATACAAGGTCCCGTGGCTACGTCCCCTGTTATCCAGTGGATCCCATGGTTCTCCCTGGCCATTCACATCCCCAGCCGTCCACATTGAGCCGTGGGGAATCTAGTGAGCCACATCAACGACAATCGAAGGTAAGCCGTTGCCAGCCTCAGTCATCCCAGCTGCAAGATAATGTAGATATTGGTATGGGAAATTCTCCTCCTTTGGTAAGGTAAGTATCCAGGAAATTATTTGGTAGATGCAGCCTGCAGGGTTGAAATTTGGTTCTCATTTTAAATTATTAATGAACATCACAAACAAATTATTAATCTGTGTTAAAAATAATATATTAACAAACCCAACGCATCATAGGAGCTTTATCTTCAAACACGTAACCTTGAGTTATTGGCAAGAGGTAACAATGAGAAGAAACATGCATGGAAATCTCCCCGAAGAAGATCCCATAATAGCCAAGGGTACCAAAGTCAACAGAGCGAAGCCACTAAGAAGATTCGTCCATGGGAACCAATTCAATATTATTGCTTCTTAAATAGCGAAGGAACTCGCTCTCTCGGACACCGGCAAGCAGCAGCAAACAAGCACCATATATAGTTATCTGGTTTTACTCTGAGTCCTGCTACTGCTACCCGCAACTCCTTTTACTTCTTCAATGGCACCAATCGTGTTAAAGAATCTAAACAAGACTGATATCGAGAAACGAATGACCCTCCCGAGCAAGTCCCTCAAGTCTTTCCCTCCTTTAAGCGGCGATAAGCATATGGTGGATTTTCATGTGATAGAAGAGTGCGGCCGTGTTTGGAAGTTCCGAATCCACACTCGTAAAAACGACAGAAAGTACCGGAAGCCGGTTCTTACCAAGGGATGGCTAGAGTTCGTACGCAGCAAACAGCTTTGTATCGGCGACAGAGTTGGGTTTTACATGGAGAAAAAAGAAGCTGGTAGTGTTGAGTATCGTGTCAAAGTGGAGAAAAGAGTTAAAATATTTGATAATTTAGGCGACGGTGTGGAAACTTCTGGAATGGGTTCCAATCGTTCTGGTATTTTTGGCTCAACGCTTAGCCGTGTTCCCCTTCCCCCTGTAAGTACGCCTTCTGAGTTCAAAAGTTCTGCAAATGAAGAGGTGCGCAAGATGGTAGTGAAAATGGAGGCCATGGAGGAAAAAAATTTCCGTATGGAAAACCACATAGCTAGATTGACTTCGAACTTGGAAAAGCTTCTCCACAAGATTGTTGGATCCTCAAATATTTTGGGTTCTGATTCTTCTGAATAGGTGACCTTCTCTTATACCAGTACTTTGTGATTGTTAATTTTTGTCTTATGCCATACTATTATTATGTTTGTAAACCAGGCAAGGGTATATGAATCCAGTTTTCCCAATCATCTGGTTTTGTTCTCTTTTTCCAGCATTTTCGCGAGGAGGAAGACCCGGAAGAGGATGATGCTTAATGGAGTTTACCCACCATTTTCGTTGTACGTGGCATTATGCTGATTCAAATTGGTAGTGTTGTTATGTTGAACTTCTGAAAACACGAACCATTGAAGGAATGAGGTTATTAAGCGAAGCGTTATCATTTGTATGAATGTATAGGAAACTATTAAGCAAATACATGATCGATACATTATAACAAAGTTGATGAATCCATGGAGTGTATTGTAAAATGGAACGTTGTTATTCTTAATGGAATTGTCCGTCTAGTTCAGTTGGTAGAGCGCAAGGCTCTTAACCTTGTGGTCGTGGGATCGAGTTCCACTGAGGGCAATTCATAACGGAGGTCTTCCACGGAAGTTGCTCTCAACCTGGTGTTAGGGGCAACCTACTACCCTACCTTCCTTATCCCATTACATATGGGAATAGGGTCAGCTAACTTTTTTTTAGACAAAATTAAAATTAGGAACTTTAATTTAAGATTTATCCATTTTTTAGTAATAAAAAAGTATAACACCCAATCAGGGTTGTTTATGAGATTTTAGTGGCATGAGGCGAACATAGAAATTAGGCCCCTAATAACAAGTATCGAAAAAATTGAATCATAAGAACGAGCAAAATTAAATAAATTTGTTTGTAAATTATTTTAATAGAAAATATCAAGAAATTTTATTAAACATCTAACTACTCACACAAAACAAGCATGATCATCCTTTAAAATGGTACATGTTAGATTTTAACATTCATCATCTTGTCAAAATAATAATAAAAGAATAATTAAGTGAAAAGTGAAAAAAATAATTTAAAAATATCATATCAACATCGTCGTTAATTTTTAAATGGAAATAAAAAAATAAAGTGTAACTTTAAGTATGATTTTGAAAAATTAATAATCGAAAAACCAATACAGAAATAAAATAATAGGTGACTAATTAAATAAATAATTTATTATTTTTTAATTATATTTAAATTTACAATATAGGCCAAGGCAAGAGGGGACCCTGGGCAAATGCCCTCTTGCCCATGCTCAGGGATAGGCCTGCACCCGATTGTCGGGTAACAACACAGAGAAAATGTTGTAATGAAGAAATGGATAACTTCATATTGATTGATATATGTGTGATAATGATTTACGTATGGATCCAATAATAGCATGTGAAATTGAGACGAAGAGGTAAATGCGTGATTACCATTGAGCATAAAACATGGAATCCTTTTATAAGGTTAGTGTCTACAACGGGGTTGCACTTTGCGCATCAAAGATGATATTGAAAAAGACTATTATACTATGATTCTAAGAGAGAGAATGAGTTATGATTGACAATAAATTATTAGTGAATTGTGAGGGAAGATTTGTGCCTTATTAGTACATGATTGTTGTGACGATGTAGCTAAATTAAATTAATTGGTCTTATATGGCGAATGTTATTATGCGTGGCCTACGAACGCCTATTTATTTGTATGATCATGTGTGGTATAAGGCTATCCAGATAATTGAGGTTTGTGCTACCTGATACGTTTGTGACTCTGGATATTGTTATCTCATTTATGTATGGTTGTGATACGTATTGTCTAATACATATGTGATTTCATATATCATTTTCCACCTATGGTACCTAATGCATTCGTGATTCCAAATATCATAACGATTTATAGTGTCTGATGCATTAATAATTTTAGGTATCCTCTTACATAGTTATCTGTAATATCTAATGAATTCAGATAATATATAATTGTTGTTATGAATGTATGCATAGGCTCTATGGTTACAAATTATATGCATGATTGGTAGTACCACCTGTATTGATATAAGTTTGATTGTGATCATGATTAATAACATATGTAATGATGATAATAAAATTATGCTTATATCTAAGTTGTTCATCTTTATTTTCTTATATTCCTTTAGGTTACAAGTTCTAGATTCACTAGGAACATTCCTCTTCATTCTCATAGAGTCCCCACTTCCCCTCCCTTTTAGGTATGATTAAGATTAGATTTAGAATTTGTCAAAAAAAATTCTACTCATATATTTCTGCTTATATTTATGAACTGCACAAAGTATAATAGAGTATAAGTGTATTAAAACTTGTAAAGCTCAACATTTGAATGTTTTTTTTCTCATGTTAATAGATTGTGTTCATTTCAGAGGAACGCCATCGTCGAAGGAATTTCGACATCTCTATTTCAAAGTATAACTTCTATTTCATATTAATAATCATGTGTATTATTCATAGGACTTTGCTAATAATTCAATCTATAAGCTTTAATATTATTTTGATTTACACTTGGGTCATATTCAGAACTTCGATTTTTGTATAAACACTTTAAAAATTATTATGTATTAGATTTTATTCATCACTGATGTTTTTTTAAGAGTATTGATCACATTTGGTTAAATTCTGAAATGGTTTGAATTTGAGGGTCACTTTCGTGACCCAACGCAACATTCTAGGCCCGTTGGATCATGTAGATTGAGTTTAGGTGCTAGAAATTATCTATCGATTCTATAACACTCTCAGCCTGATTTAAACATAAATTGAATCGAAGTTATTAGTAGAATTTAATAAGAATCAACCATGAACATAAATCACGTGCATCATTCAATCTCAATCTCAAAACACATTCAATTACTCTTATTAACCAATTATTAAGGAATTCACAAAAACACGTCCACGAAAACACACCAATATTTGACTTGTGAATGGGAAACAAAAGATAAGATTAGTGCGAAACCGCAGAATCGCGGCACCTACTGGCTACTGCCGACAGACAAATATTTTCATCATTTAAAAAAAATATTGCACATTAAGATATTTACTTGTGAATGTGAAACAAAAGAGAAGAAAGTGCGAGCCACTATCAGAAACCGCAGCAAAATCGCGCCACCTACTACCGACTGACAAATATTTTCATCATTTTGAGGCATATTTTTGTACATTCGATCGAGTTAGTGGCGAATCTATTAAAATTTTAAAATGAATGTCTCTATTTTAAAATTTAAAATTTTAATTAATTATTTTTATATTAATTATATTTATCTTAAAATTTTATTTATACTTATTACGAACAAAAGTTTTATATAATTAATATATATTATATCAATCTTTAAAAATATCACTCTAAAACTACGTGTAAAATCTATATTGATTTGCTTGTCTATTAAGCACCATAGTTTCTCTCTATCTAACGTAAAATAATATAATAAAAAAAGACTTGAGCAAATAGACTTTCTCCTTCATCGATGGCACCAATCGTGGTAAAGAATCTCAACGTAAAATTTAATATTGAATTAAAACTCAAGTTTCTTTCTTTTAAATGGTTGTAATAAAGAAAGAAATTTGAGCTTTTATTATTATTATTATTATTATTATTATAAGTTTAACAGTATTTTAGTAACATTTTTATAATATCTAATAAATTATTTAAGTAGAAGCAGGGTTGAAATTTGGTTCTGATTCTTATTTCCTTTGTTGTCACTTGTCACGAGTGATGTGGTTAGAGAAGAATAAAATATATTTTTTAAAATTAATTAAATATTTTTCAAATAAATAAATAATCTATTTTATATATAAATAGAATAATTTGAATAAATTTTAAATAAATTAACAAATCAAATTAATTATAATATCTTTATTTTTATATAATTATCTTTTTTATTTTAAAATAGGCACATATTTAAATTTAACTTGACTTTTTCAGAAAAATAATAATTTGATTCGATTCAAAAATTATTTTATTTATTTTAAACTAATCACGAGGGAAGAAGATCTAATATTGTTAGAAAATAAGTGATTTTTTATTAGTCTGGTACGATTATAAGATAATATTTGTTCAAAAAATTCTCAACCATTCGATAATTTAACATTCAAACATTCATACGGATGTCAAACTCAAATCCAAAACTTTTAATAATAACAATTATCTTTTAATCATCAAATTCGTTTAGTTCATGAATTAGTGGAGTTGCTATTAAGTTTGATTTATATTATTATATGATTGGTTGTAGTGTGTGAGAAAAAGGTCAATTTTTATTTAGACATGAAGAGAAAAAATCTACTCCAGCACAAAATGAGGCAGAAAGTAAAGCAGTTTAGCAATGGAGAGTATTCATGGAGAGAACAGAATATTATACATTTTAAATATATTTTATATTCTTTTATTAGCAATTCAATGTAATTTTTTTGTTGACAATTTAATTTTGTTTTCTTCTAATTTTATAAATTAATTTTTTACCTCAAAATCTTAAAATCTCATTACCTTTAACATAAAATTATGCGTCCGTATGAATGTCCAAAAACTAAACATGTACAAGAAATAGCAATACAAGACGATGAAAACAATGTCAAACATAAACCAATAGGAAGCGAAACTCTCTCTGCAACCTCCATGCTAAAAGGAAGTTGAGGCACTGACAGCATGCATATATTCTCAAGGACTGGTTGCCGATGGTGGTGGAGAGAGGAACGGAATGGACGGAATAGTAGTCGGAATCGTAGGGATCGAAGGGAAGCTTGGCATTGGCGGCAGGGTAACCTTTGGGGCAGTAGGCAAGTTGGGAATGCTAGGAAGTGGCGGTAGTGTGCCGGGCTTCGGCAGTGTTGGTAAAGTCGGTATCGTAGGCTGCGGCAGCCCCGTTGTCGGCATGGGTGGTAACTGCTGAAGACGGCGAGCTTCTAGGCTAACATCGACGCCGGAAAACATCAGTGCCACGTGAAGATACTAATTTTTTATCCATATTATTATTATTATTATTATTATTACTATTATCATTATTATTATTATTATTATTATTATTATTATTATTACTATTATTATTAAATATATTAAATACATATAAATATTATTAAAAATAAATAAATAATAAAAAAATATAATTACAGGCCCAATTACAATTGGACCGGCCCAGTTACAAACCAACCAGAGCCGGTCCAAATCCAACCAGAAACCCTAAATATTTGGGTTTCCAGTTAGGGTTTCCTAACCCTAATCTAGCCAGCCGCCATCTTCAATCTCAACCGTTGGATCTGGTTTGATCCAACGGTCCACCATTTGCCAGAGAAAACCCTAGGGTATCTATACCCTAGGGACACGTCCCAGCGCCGCCGCTGCTGCTTCCAGAAGCCCTCACCGCCTCCGCCGCTGCCACGTCCCGAATGAAGATTCCAGAAGATCAACGCCAGCCGTCCATGCAAGGCTACGGGGTGAGTCACCACTGGTAGTCCGGTGACTCACCGAAGCCCCCTCTTCGGACCGGTCTGAGACGAACACCGGTGGTGGCTATAAAAGCCACCACCCATCTGCGAA